AAGGGACCCTACCAGACTCAGCACCTGGAGGAGAAGCAGTGGTCAGTGTGTACAGGCTCGACCCTGGCCGACGTGTAAACGTAGCCAGGTGGCGACCTGTATCCGCCTCCGTGCAGTGGGTCACCCGCTGACGAGCAGGGGTGAACTGGTGGACACCCGCATCCTGGAGGTCAGCACCACTCACCAAGTTCGTCGAGAACGAGGGGAGGTAGAGACCAGTCAGGGTGCCAGAGGGGGCCGCCGGACACGGGAGGACAGTGGAGAAGCGAGACAGGACAGGCCCCCCAGAGGGGTCAGCCAGGGACACCGCAACCGGCCGACTCAGCGGCGTGAGAGTGGTGCGGTCCCTAAAGAAGGAGCGAGACGCTCCAGAGTCAAGGGTGAAGGTGTGAGAGGCCGAAGCCGACACAGTACCTGAGAGGGCAGACTCACCAGCACCTGAGAGCACAGACGCACTGGCACCTAGAGCAGCAGCCTCACTAGTACCTGACGCGGCAGTACCAATGCCCGGGTCGGGCGGGAAACACCGGTAACAGTCATCCTCATCACTACCAGTCACAGCATACATAGCAGAGAGAATAGCATCAAAATCAAGATCATAAATAGCTACACCAGCCCTAGACAGCTCTCCCCAGCGGGGGATCTCAGCGGCCTCCGGAAACTGCTGACGCCAGGCGTCGGTCAGGCGGCCAAAGCAGCGGCGGGCTGTGTGGGCGCCTCCACACCTCTCCCCTGCACGGTCACCTGTGCGAAGAACGTAGGGGCAGGGACCAAGCGCACCACCACGCTGACGCTGCAAGTACCACTCACGGAGCTGCTGAGGGCCGGGGACGGTGCGAGAGCGCTGCTGCTGCTGTGGCTGCTGCTGCGGCTGCTGCTGTTGCTGCTGCTGCTGCTGGCGCTGACCACCCCCAGAGCTGCTCCGCTGGGACGAGCCACTCCGACCCCCGCCTCCACCGCCACCCCCGCCTCCACCGCCACCCCCGTCTCCACCGCCACCTCCCCCACCAGGACCGTCGCTCCCACCGCTCCCACCGCCTCCTCCGCTACCACCTCCGCCGCCACCTCCGCCTCCACCGCCGCCACCAGTACCTCCACTCCCGCCCACACCACCCCCACCGCCACCCCCACTCCCCCCGCCACCCCCACCGCCTCCTCCACCGCCCCCTCGAGCTCCACCCGCTCCCTTGCCCCCCTTGCTCTTGCCAGAGCGGCGTCTGCCGCTGGGGGCAGACGCCGCGCCGACCGACTCAAAACCAGTGAGGTCGGCCGCAGCGGCAGAGGCGACAGAGGGCAGCAGGGGGGAAGGACCACACCCCTCAAAGATGGGGGTGCGAGGGTCACCCCGAGAGGCCCCTACAGCGACAAAACTCTTCTCAGCCGCTAGCAGGGACTCCTCAAGGAGGTCGACAGTGAGAGTGGTGGGACAGACAGAGAGAAACTGGTCCCTAACGACACGAAGGGACTCAGGGAGACGGGTGACGAGAAAGTAGAGGGTGATGTACATGGGAGGAGGGTTCGCAGCGCGGAACTCAGCAGGAAGGGCAGCGCGGTAGCGGGTGTCACTAGCACGGAGGTGGGTAACGAGGTCAGCGACAGTGGGAAAGGAAGCGAGGTCAGGGAAGAGAAACGGTAGCATGAGGCGGCTAAGGGTAGCGGAGGAAGGGGAGGAGTAGCGTGCAACTACAGCGTCGTACAAGGCCTGAGCGGTCTTGCACTGACTAAAGTGGGCACGCTCAGAGGAAGGGAGGTGGCGACGCACAGCAAGACGTGCAGCAGCATCGCGGGTCGCCCACTTGGAGCGAACGGCAGAGTCAGCATCAGCAGGTGGGGCAGGAACAGCGCCAGAGACAAAGTCAAAAAGAGAGACCTCATCTATCGCATCACACAGTAAGTACAGCTGCAGGTCTTCAATCCAGACGGCAAAGTCAATGGCCCTCCCCTCAGCGTCAAAAGTAAGAACATTGGGGGTGGCCATGGCAGCAGCTGGAAGTCTCACCGGGCTGGGAGAGTCGGGTAGGTCAGCAGCAGAAGAACACAGCTCAGGAACAGCAGCACGGCGGCTCGGGCGGCTCGGGCGGCTCGGGCGGCTCGGGCGGTTCGGGCGGCTCGGGCGGCGGCTCGGTCGCAGCTCAGCGGCGGCTCGGGCGGCGGCGGCTCGGCGGCGGCTCGGCTGCTGCTGGGCGGCTGGGCGGCGGCTCGGGCGGCTCGGGCGGCTCGGGCGGCTCGGGCGGCTCGGGCGGTTCGGGCGGCTCGGGCGGCTCGGGCGGCTCGGGCGGCTCGGGCGGTTCGGGCGGCTCGGGCGGCGGCTCGGTCGCAGCTCAGCGGCGGCTCGGGCGGCGGCGGCTCGGCGGCGGCTCGGCTGCTGCTGGGCGGCTGGGCGGCGGCTCGGGCGGCTCCGGCTCGGCGGTGCAGGCGGCGGCGGCTCGGCGGCGGCCCGGGCGGCGGCTCAGGCGGCGGCGGCTCGGCGGCGGCTCGGCTGCTGCTGGGCGGCTCGGCTGATGCTGGGCGGCTCGGCGGGGCCGCGGAGCAGAGGGCGGCGGTGCCGCGTAGGAGAGGGCGGCGGGGCCGCGTAGCAGAGGGCGGCGGGGCCGCGTAGCAGAGGGCGGCGGAGCCGCGTAGCAGAGGGCGGCAGGGCCGCGTAGCAGAAGGCGGCGGGGCCGCGTAGCTGAGGGCGGCAGGGCCGCGACGTAGGGCGGCGGGCGGGCCTTCGAAGTAGGGCGGCGGGCGGGCCGGGACGTAGGGCGGCGGGGCCGCGACGTAGGGCGGCGGGCGGGCCGTCGAAGTAGGGCGGCGGGCGGGCCGGGACGTAGGGCGGCGGGGCCGCGACGTAGGGCGGCGGGCGGGCCGTCGAAGTAGGGCGGCGGGCCACGACGTAGGGCGGCGGGGCCGTCGAAGTAGGGCGGCGGGCAGGCCGCGACTTAGGGCGGCGAGGCCGCGCGATAGGGCGGCGGGGCCGCAAGGTAGGGCGGCTCGACAGGCCGCTAGGGAGGGCGACACGACGGGTCGCTAAAAAAAAAAGGACGCGCGCCTCGGGGCGCGCTTCGGTGGGCCCAAGAAACAGTCCCTAGTAGGGGACCTGCTCTGATTCCATGTGAAAGAGAGAACGAGAATGGGATGACTATGAAAGAAGTGGGTACAAATAGGAAACCCTAATTGGGTTGTACCCCCTATGGGATACCCCACTATAGCCTACACAATAGTATAAGCTATATAGTTCTGACATTACGCCATACGTCGAGCCCCTCATCGAAGCCTCCCGTACCCTACAAGATTCGACGCATGCGGTGTCATCGGCGCAACACACAGAGGCACTCGTACGCAACCGGAGGCCCCCGCTGCCCATGTCTCAGAGACCCCATTTGTAATGAGAACGATGCCAATTGATAAGAAAGAAAGCAAGCTTTCTCAATATTATAATTTTTAAACACACATGTAGTGTTTTTTAAAATTGTGTATTGTGAAAGCGAAGCTGCTTGTACTGCACAATTGGCATCGTCGAAGCGCGGTAAACGCCCTTCTCCAACTACAAAAACCGTGGGTTGGAGCTCATTTCCCTCCACCCACGTTTCTCAATTTTCAAACGGCTCACTCAACATTCCCACCACCCACCCCAGTGTAAACCGCCTTGCTAATGCCACTTGGATAGGGTACATAATAGCTAGTGTTATTAGTCCGCACTAGCTTATGTCGAACGATGATGCAAATGTTGTAATACGCCATTTGTAATGAGAACGATGCCCATTTGTAATGAGAACGATGCCAATTGATAAGAAAGAAAGCAAGCTTTCTCAATACACAATTTTAAAAAACACTACATGTGTGTTTAAAATTTATAATCTCATGACACTAAAACTCATTCAGCAAAAATGCAGTTGCCGCTCAATCCGTCACATAGAAATCACTCGCATGTTATCGTGCTTTGTTATCCAACCGTCAGCTCGTTCACATCCTCAACAGTGAACAACAGATGTCGGCGAATCCTGACGGTCGCAATTATTCATCGAGGGCTGACATGCACCGACATCCAGCTACATGGTCACTACGGACACGCCCGAAAACACCAACTACCACCAGTTCAACACACTCTACTCTACTGCCGCACCAACAACCAGGACATCCACCACACCCAGGGAACGAGCAATCTCCATGCACAACATTCCGAACCCTATCAACACGGAGAGAGCAATTACAAACGGCACCCCTCTCAGCACTTCGTCGACGCCATCAATCGCAACTACACGTCCTCAACGTCCCCAACCACACATGTCTCAGACGACCCAATTCTAATGAAGCACGTTGCCATTGCAAGAACAGAAAGCAAGCTTTCTCAATATGAATTTTTTCGAAAGTGTGTAACACTTTCTAAAAATGCGTATTGTGAAAGCGCAGCTGACTGTAGCGCAGCAAGGCAACTGCGAATTACCATTCGCCGAATATATAAGAGGGTTGGAGGCCATTTGGCCTCCACCCACGTCTCCATTTTGGAACTTTGCAGTTCCTCTCCCCACCCACCCACCCTGATCATTTACATGTATGATTTATGGTTGGACGAGAATGCTGTAATTACTGCAATTCTAATGAAGCACGTTGCCATTGCAAGAACAGAAAGCAAGCTTTCTCAATCCTTCATTTTTCTTTCTTTTAGAGGCACTGCTTCTGCTCAATAGTTCTGATGACTGGACTGGAGTACAAATGATTGGGTTACGGTATTGTCATAACGTACGGTACTGGAGTGATATTGTGATATGGAGACAATAGTGATGTTGAGACTTTAGTAGGTCCTCTATGACTAGTCACTTCATATATTCAAATCGCTGAAACCTAAGGGTACAGTATTACACTTTGCTTGTGAAACTGCAGTATGAGGAATTATTGGTAACTAATAACTATTGCAATGAAAGAGATGCTAAAAACACGCATTCATCAACCAAAGACGAACAGCCGCTGAAGACAAAACAGTATTCACTGAAGGTTCCTGCTTGAATGCCATCAACTGTTTACATCTCATCAAAATTCCAACCATCATCATCACCATCATCCTCCCCACCGCCACTCTTCCCCTTGGCAACCACTAGCTTACTCGTAGTCTGCTTCTTCTTAGCTGCTGCTGCTGCTGTCTTACCAGCACCCCCACCACCTGCCTTCCCTCCTCCTCTCGCTCCTGCTGCTCCTTTTTTGCTCCCAGCCGTGCTGCTTCCCCCGAACCCAAGAGAAGACCCAAGCTCTCCCCATCCAATATCCTCCTCCTCCTTCTCCTCCTCTTCATCCACCCATCCTGTCCGCACCGGTTTCTTGCTCATGGCACTGCCACTGGCAGCGCTGGTTACACCAGTGCTGCTGATGCTGGTAACCGTGCTGGTAACACCGTTGCCAGCGCCAATTACAGAGGCAGCAGCAGCAGGAAGAGCAGCGGCAGCGAGAGGAGCAACGACAGGAGCGGAGGCAAGAACAGCAGCAGTAGGAGAAACAGAGGTGACAGCCGGTTTGAGAAACAACGGCTTGCCACTGCTGCTACTGCTGCCGCCGCCACCACCCGCAGCACCAAAAGGCGACTTAGACCCTCCTCCCAGCTTTAACGAACTGCTAGTAGGTGACCGAACCTCTACCTCCATAGCACCCCTCCCCACTCCCCCCCCTCCTCCTCCCTTCTCCCTCCCCACTCTCTCCCAATCATCCCCATCCCCGTCCTCCTCGTCCCAATCCCACTGTTCTTCCGAGCCCCTACTCCCACCCACACCCCCCACCTTGCTTCCAAACCCACTCCCTGTATCCCCCTCCGCCCCAGCAACGCTCTGATACAACGGCCCTTCCCCATGCCTGGTCCTGCAGCAACAGTAGCACGCGATGATTACCACCAGGGAACCTATGATTGCCAGGGTAAATGCCCCTAGCACGAGGTACACCGCGAAAGTTTCCGCGTTTGCCACACCAACAAAGGGGTAGATGGTTGCCATAGTGGAGATAATCAAGGGCTTTAAGAGCTGGATCAGGGCTCGTTTGATGGACAGAAGGATAGTGGCACTCGTGCTGCTGCTACTGCTGCTAGGGGGAGTGGTGGTTTCGGGTGTGGTAACCGGGTTACCAGACGAGGGGGCTTGGTCGGTTTCCCCAGAGAAATCGCCCTTTCTGCTGCTATCACTCTTCCCACTGCCAGTATCACCCGCACCACCACCACCAGCACCACCAGCACCACCAGCACCAGCGCCAGCACCAGCACCACCGGCACCACCCTTTTCCCCACCAAACACGCCCTCTCCCCCCACCACTCCCCCCGCCCCCTCCGCCTCCCCCTCGCCCGCCCTTCCCTTTGGCTGCCCCTCCGCCCATGGTTGCTCATCCACCGTTGCTGCTCCCTCCTCCTCTTCCGCACCCCCTTCCGCGCCCCCTTCCCCACCTCCCTCCTCACCCCCTTCCACGCCCAACCCCCCAGCACCCTCCCCACCTCTCTCCCCCGCGAATCCCCCACCTCTCGCCCCAGCACCTTTTCCTGTCATCCCCCCTGCCCCCTCCTCAAACTTATCCCCTTCATCCCCCGATGCTGCTTGCTCTATAGGCTCCCCTACAGCCCTCTTTTCCCCTTCCGCCTCTAAACCCCCTCCCCCTTTGCCCTTCCCCTTCCCCAGCCCCTGCGCCAGCCCCTCCCCTTCCCCCTCCCCTTCCGCCTCCGCCCTCACCTCCGCGTCTCGCTCTGCTGCTGTCTTGCGCGTGCTTTCCCCCCCACTGCCTATCAACCCGCCTCCTGCTCCCCCTTCCCCCCCTGCCCCTGTTTTCCCTACACCAACTTCCCCTGCTGCTGCTGCTGCTGCTGCTGCTTTCCCCGGAGTAGTCTTTTTTCCTGCTGCCGCTCCCTCGGCTTCCGCTTCTTCCTCCCCCTCCTCCGCCTCTTCCCCCACCACTCCCGCCCCTTTCCCAGTAACCCCGCCTTTCGTCGACCCTTCCCCAGTCACATCCCCCTTCCGCTTCTTCTCCCCAACCTCCGCTTCCGCCCCAGCTTCCTCCTCCGCTTCCTCCCCCAATTCGTCTTCTCCCCCCCTGCCCGGACCACCCACACCGCTTTTCTTCTTATTTACCGTTTTCCTGGGCGGATCAATCTCCTCTTCCGCAATCTCCGCCGCTTCCGCCGCGCCCTCTGCTTCTTCCGCCAACCCCGCGTCGGCTGGGCCTTTCCCGACCCTACCGGGGGGAATCTCCGCGGGGATCTCCGCGTCATCTTCCGCCTCTTCCGCGTCCACGGGGCTCCGCGCGAGAGATCTGATTGGTCGGTGCTGACTCAGCTCCAGCTCGAGTCCAACAGTCGCGAGAGATTCGATTTGACGCGACGAGGAGGCGCGGAGATCTGATCCGCCGCCCAGCGATTTTGTCTCCACTGGGGGTGACGTAGAACGTGGATCAACATCGGAATTGAGGAGACTGGCCTCGGTGCTAGCCTTGGGATTGCCGAGACGACCCTGAGAAACAGAGGGATTGGGAGCAGAGGGAGATCACGAGGGAGAGAGTTTCAGAAAACCTTGGAACGAAAGAGTAATAATCAATGAAAGATGTCGGCCTTGGGATTGCCGAAGCTGGCCTTGGGAATGCCGGGATCAGGAGACGAGAAAAGGAAAATGGAGTGCGAACAGAGAGATGACGAATGGAGGCGCGATGTCGGCCTTGGGATTGCCGGCATCAGAGAGAATGAGACGAGAGACAAGGAAAATGGACTGCGGACAGAGCGACGGATGGAAAAAGGATGTCGGCCTTGGGGTTGCCGAGATCAGAGGGTGAGACGACGCAAGGGGAAATGGACTAAGCGAATTGATATCGGAATACCGGAAGCAGGTTTCCGAGATCAATGGGAGGGATAATCTTCTTAGTAAAATGCCAAAGAAATAAGGGAAAGGTGGGAGGAGGTGGAGCGGAATAGAAGGTATAGTGCAACTGGTCTGTGCTAGCTGTGTCGACCTATTAAGAATTAAGGAGCTCTAAATTGGTCTTAACATGCCTGATCCATACTATGCAATACATAAATTAGCAGGTGATGCGGCACAAGCGTCTCTTAGATAGATTGAGCAGGATTCACGCGATAACACTACAGAAGGGTAAGGGGGTTCCACCTGTGATGATCGCGAGTTCGTGGAAGCTTCATTGGAAAGAGTATCCGTAAGAGTAGGGGTGGGGCGAGTGGCAGCGAGCGGCGATATCGTCGCGATGACAACGAGGAGCAACGCGACGACCGGTAGGCCGTGCCGCGACAAACGGAACGTCGCCATCCGTTCCTTGGCAGCCATTGCCGCTGATTGCACGATCGCTGAAACGACTTCGAAGTATTGGGAAGCAAACAATGTAATAGAGTTAATTAATTTTAGTTGTCAATAACAGCAAGAGCATTTGGCCGAGTGGTTAAGGCGTGTGCCTGCTAAGTACATGGGCTCTGCCCGCGAGAGTTCGAATCTCTCAGTGCTCGAAGTCTGTTTTCCTTGTGGGTTGTTTGTTTTCCTAGACAGGTCTGTTCCCAGACCTTCCAGCTCATTGTGTCCCTGATTTGGTGTTGCAAAGGTGTCATGTCATTTTTCCACTCTCTTGCTGCACTGTCAGTTTGTTATCATCGCAAGCTCCTCAATGAGTGTGCACATCTTACATGTACCCTAACCCACAGCATTTGCCACAGCATTTGCCACAGCATTTGCCACAGCATTTGCCACAGCATTCGCCACAGCATTCGCCACAGCATTCGCCACACAGCATTTGCGACAGCTCTTTTAACTCCTCCCTGCTGTCCATTCCATATAAAGCATGGCATTTTTATATTATTTTTGTAGGCTGTACCTCATGTAATCATTCCAAGGACATGTAAGATGGATCAAGATCATATACAGCCTCCCGTCGACCTCCAGAGAACGGGCTTGGGAACACATTCACAAATACACACTGCCACATCTTGCTGAGGCTCCAAGATCTGACCTTCCTTGCCTGCCTTCCCTGTGCCGCATATTCTAATTATATCCGCAGCACTTGAAGCATGTGCTGCGGCATTCCGTCAGCTGGGGTTTCAACATTCAGCCTTCCTCCTCGCATGCCAGCCTGCCCTTTACCCCCCCACACAGTCAGCATCAAAACAGAAATCCAGTGTGCCACATATTTTACTTGGAAGTTGGAACTCCCCTATCAGCAGCATTCGGACGAGGCATTTGCTGCAGAATTCGTGTGCTGGAGATTCATCATCCAGCCTACCCTCCTTGCCCGCCCCTCCCCTCCCGTCCCTCACTGTCAGTGTCAACTCCCCTGTGCCACATCGTTTACTCATAGCAGCAGAATCTGCTATGGCTTCCTCTGACCATTGTAGTGGCAACTACCCCCAGTCAAAGCCCACTCACCCACCCACCCACCCACAACAATCCACCATCCCCGAGTCGAATTTTACCCACCTTCAACTACCCACCAACTCCCATAGAGAGCCCACCCACCCACCCACAACTACCCACCACCCCCCAAACAAACTCCACCCACCTTCAACTACCCACCAACTCCCATAGAGAGCCCACCCACAACTACCCACCACCCCCCAAACAAATTCCACCCACCTTCAACTACCCACCAACTCCCATAGAGAGCCCACCCACCCACCCACAACTACCCACCACCCCCCAAACAAATTCCACCCACCTTCAACTACCCACCAACTCCCATAGAGAGCCCACCCACCCACCCACAACTACCCACCCACCCCCAAACAAATTCCACCCACCTTCAACTACCCACCAACTCCCATAGAGAGCCCACCCACCCACCCACAACTACCCACCACCCCCCAGTCAAAGCCCCCCAGTCCCCACCCCCCAACACCCGCCCACCTCGCCTCACCCCTCCCCACTCTCACCTGCCAGCAGTTGGAGCAGCAGACAGCCCACTTCCTTAAAAAGGAACAGCACACCCTGAGGCTTTGCCTTGTGGGGCGAGGTTTGGCTGTGGAGAATTGCGACTCAAATCTCACCCCTGACGTAGCCAGAGCTGACGCGAACCAGAGCCGCCGGCCGGTCGGCTCTGACGGTGTCCATTAGGCCTTGAACGCCAGATTGGTTACTTGAGCACCGAGTGCCGTGCCGCACAGATTCCACCCACCAAGCTCCACACCACAAGGCACAACCCCTGAGGGTGCTGCCCCTAGGGCAGTGAGATGCCCACTTGCTCCCATGCTCCCCACCCACCCACCCACCGCACACTTCACCCCCTTGCCTCCTTACCTCCACCTACCAGAGCCATGCAGAGCGCCATGATGCCTCAGGCTGCTGGAAAGGGAGGGAGGCAGGGACCAAGGGAGAGCAGTGAGCAAGGGGAGAAGAACAGGCAGAAGTGTGACAGCAGGACAGGAGCAAGAAAAGTAAGCTAGCATTGTGAGAAGAACAGCAGCAGCATGAGTGACAGAAAAAGCACATAAGACTGCAACTCTGGCAGCGAGGTGAGAAGAGGCTCACCTTGATTCAGACAACCATCCCGATACTCTCCCATCCCAAGTGGAGTGAGACCCCTCCCTTCCCACCAAGTGACCTGGCAATGGGCGGGGGAACGGACTGGAGAGTAGGGGCAGGAGGAACAAGTAAGTTGGCATCAAGTGAAACAGTCAAGTAATCAGAAGAACAGAAAATCAAGAATGCAGACTTGAAGTGAGACATCTGTAGCAGGAAGGGAGAAAGAGGCTCACCTTGTTTCAGACAACCCAGCCCGATACTCTCCCTTCCCATCCCAGCCCGATACTCTCCCTTCCCATCCCAGCCTGATACTCTCCCTTCCTGGCCCAGCCGAGTGAAGTTCTGCCCCCCTCCCCTCCCAAATTGCCACCTGCACGGCCACAAGGGGAGGGGCGTGAGGGAGTGGCGGTGTTGATCCCCACGCCCCTTCCCTCCACCTGCAAGGCACACACACAGCAGCAGTGAGTGTACTGTGGGGGGACCAAGCGAATAACCTGTACAAAAGAGGTGAAAAGCGAGAGAGGGCGCAACTGGTGCAGCCTCAACTACAAGCCACAGACTCAGAGGGGGTATTTGCCTGGGAAGGCTAGACCTGAGAGGATACCTCTGTACCTGGGAGAGTGTACCCTAAAAAATGGGTCTGTGGCTTGAAGCTTTGGCTCAACCAGAGGCTTGTGTTTGAATAGACACGAAACAGGGGATGCAGCATGGATGAACGTGAAAAGCAAAAGAACACAAGGGAGGAAGGGCAGGGACTTAGCTGTGGATGGGTTGGGTGGAGAGCAGCTGCCGACTGTCACTCCCACTCCATGTTCCTTGTTACTGCTCCCCGCCACTGCCTCTCCAACACCCTGCTGAGACGAGAGCGGGCAGATTGGGACAGAGAGGAGGGGGGTCTGCACCACGTGGGCTAGGCTGCTGCAAGTGGCTTGGTTTGAGGCATGCAGCATGGATGGAAAGATGACGTGCAGATGCATGGGAGCGAGCATGTGAGTCGATTTTTGAGTCGACTCAAAAATCGACCGTGTGGGCTAGGCTGCTGCAAGTGGCTTGGTTTGAAGCATGCAGCATGGATGGAAAGATGACGTGCAGATGCATGGGAGCGAGCATGTGAGTCGATTTTTGAGTCGACTCAAAAATCGACCATGTGGGCTAGGCTGCTGCAAGTGGCTTGGTTTGAGGCATGCAGCATGGACGGAATGATGACGTGCAGATGCATGGGAGCGAGCATGTGTAAGAGTGTGTGAAAGCATTGAAAAGGCGAGAGCAAAGTGAGAGTGTACTTATCTGGTGCGGCTGTGAGTGATGGTGGCTGTTGTGCTGCCGCCACTGAAGCGCCTCCCACCACCCAAAGGCGCTGCTAGGAGTGCTGGGAACTCGTCACCAGAGGGGCTGCTGGGGGATGGGAGGCGGGGTGAGCGGGGGGGAGGGGAGGGAGTGGAGGGGGAGAGGAGAGGACGGGAGAGTTGGAGAGGAAGTAAAGTGGATGAGAGAGGCGAGTCAGATGGAAAGTGAGATATGCAGGCGAGGCAGACAGGCGAGGAAGAGAGGAGGGGAAGGAGGCTCACCTTGTTTCAGACAACCCAGCCCGATACTCTCCCTTCCCATCCCAACCCGATACTCTCTCTTCCCATCCCAGCCCGATAATCTCTCTTCCCATCCCAGCCCGATACTCTCCCTTCCCATCCCAGCCCGATACTCTCCCTTCCCATCCCAGCCGAGTGAAGTGCTGCCCCCCTCCCCTCCCACCACTGCCACCTGCACAGCCACAGAGGAGGGGCGTGAGGGAGCGGCGGTGTTGACCCCCACGCCCCTCCCCTCAACGGAAAGGAGAGAACTGAAGAGAAGTGAGTATGCGGCTAGGGGTAGAAATGTGAGAGGAGTGGATGGTGCGGTGAAGTGGAATGGCAGGTGAGAGCAGAGAAGGGAGCCACTGGTGCAGCCTCAGCTACAAGCCACAGATCCAAGGGGGGGACACACGTAGGGAGACTTACCTGCAGACCTGAATGTATACCTGTAATACCTGGGGGTATTTACCCAAGAAAAGGGGTCTGTGGCTTAAAGCTTTGACTCAACCAGCGGCTTGAGTTTGAATGCACAAGAAAGGGGAGATGCGGCAAGGATAAAAGTTGAACAAAAATGGGCGCAAGAGGCAGCGCAGGGTACGTAACTGCGGGTTGGTTGGGTGGAGAGCAGCTGCTGCCTGTGCACTCCATGTCCCCCGCCACTGCCACTCCCGTGTGAGCGACCTGCTGGGACCAGACGCGGGCATATCGGGACAGAGAGGATGGGAGGAGGGGGGGTGGAAAACGGGGGAGTGAAGAGGGGTCCAGAAGAGTGGAGAGAGCTGTGAGGAAAGTAGCAAAGAGTGAAGTGAGCGCGACGAGTGCAGCACGTGCAAGAATGATACGTGCATGAATGGACTGCTGCAGTGGCACACCCAAGAGACCTCATACCAGCTGAACCAAACTAAATAAAATACCTGAGGCTGTACCAAGAAAAAAGATGCCTACTACCTTGGGGGAGGGAGGTCTGATGGGTGTGACAAAGAGCAGTGAAAAATGGAGTGAAATGCATGGTGCAAGCATGACAAGCAAAGCAACACAGTGCGAGGGTTGGGAGAAGAGAGGAAGGGCGGGGTACTTAGCTGTGGGTTGGTTGGGTGGATAGCAGCTGCTGCCTGTGCACTCCATGACCCCGCCACTGCCCTGCTGGGTCGAGAGGGGGTAGATCGGGACAGAGAGAGGAAACGAGGAGGGGGGGGAGAAAACGGGGGAGTGAAGGGGGGGCAATGAGGAGTGAAGCGAAGACGAGAGGGGTGACGTGAGCGCGACGAGTGCAGCAAGTTTGCAGAATGATGCGTGCATGAATGGACTGCTGCAGTGGCACACCCAAGAGACCTCGTACCGGCTGAACCAAACTAAAAAGAATACCTGAGGCTTTACCATAGGTGAACCTGCTACCTTGGAGAAGGGAGGTCTCTTGGGCGACACAGAGGGCAGTAAAGAAGGGAGTCAGATGCATGGTGTAAGCAAGTCATAAAGTCGGCACAGGCAGTCCATGTTTCAAGCAGTCAAAGGGTCAAGCAGTCCGTTTTCAAGCAGTCAAAGGGTCAAGCAGTCCGTGTTTCAAGCAGTCAAAGCGTCAAGCAGTCTGTGTTTCAAGCAGTCAAAGGGTCAAGCAGTCCGTTTTCAAGCAGTCAAAGGGTCAAGCAGTCCGTGTTTCAAGCAGTCAAAGGGTCCAGCAGTCCGTGTTTCAAGCAGTCAAAGGGTCAAGCAGTCTGTGTTTCAAGCAGTCAAAGGGTCAAGCAGTCCATGTTTCAAGCTGTCAAAGGGTAAAAAAGTCCGTGTTTCAAGCAGTCAAAGGGTCAAGCAGTCCGTTTTCAAGCAGTCAAAGGGTCAAGCAGTCTGTGTTTCAAGCAGTCAAAGGGTCAAGCAGTCCGTTTTCAAGCAGTCAAAGGGTCAAGCATTCCGTGTTTCAAGCAGTGAAAGGGTCAAGCAGTCCGTGTTTCAAGCAGTGAAAGGGTCAAGCAGTCCGTGTTTCAAGCAGTCAAAAAGTCAAGCAGTCCGTGTTTCAAGCAGTCAAGGGGTCAAGCAGTCCGTATTTCAAGCAGTCAACGACTCAAGCAATCTGTGTTTGAGGCAGTCCATTTACGAAGCAGCCGAATATCCAAGCAGTATGTGTTGCACTTAGCTTTTAAAGGAGTGCTGCTGGGCGGCGCAGAGTGGTGAGATGAGCGCCATGCTGCCCGCCTCCACAGTTCGCCTCCGCGGTTTCACCTCCGCGGTTTCGCCTCTGCGGTTTCGCCTCCACGCCATAATGCTTCTCCGCGGATTCGCCTCTATGCCTTCTGCGCGGTTTGATTATTTTCTGTACATTTAAACGCGAAATCGAAATTATTATATTAATTTCATTGAGAACGTTCCGAAAAGTAGCTAACGTGGTCAATGTGAAAATACCGGCAGTAGCGGCGCACCTGATGCAGGGAAAGCGAGATTTGAGGCGGACGCGATCCTCCATTTAGTTTCGCTTAGCCACACCTACGCCGGCGATTCCGCTTAGCCACGCGATTTCGCTTAGCCGCGTCGCGATTTTCGAGCGTGTATGAGGTGATTAGACGAGCTCGTGGTGGTCGCAGCAGAGGGGACTTTCGATATTGTTGCTGCTGATGGCGAACGTCTCTTCTAACTGTGTAACATCTCTGCTGGCGGACGGCCGAAATCGCTGAATGTCGCATATCGCTTCCGGGCACGAGAGCCCTTGAAGTTTACGGAGAGAATGTTGCTGCTGACAGCGAGAGCTGTTGATGACGAGGATATCGTTTCTTATCGCAATTTCCGCTGACGGCCGGTTTGACTGCTGAGAACGGTACACGAAGCTGCTGTCGATGAAAACTGCTGCCGACGAGGAAATTACAGATAATGGACGAATTCGTTGCCACTGACGGAGAGAACGCTTTTGTTGAGCAAGGAAATCGCTGCTGAGGAAGAAGTTCGTTTCTAGCGTCGACACTCATTCCTGATGATGGCTAGCGGCTTACAGTCCGTGCTAATGACTTATGCAGGAACGCAGAGTCGGCTGGCGAACGACAGAAATCAACGGAGGACCTGGAATGAGGAAATGACGAACCGCTGTCTTTTCGACAGCCGACTCTGCGTGTGCTTTTCGACATTCTGCAGGTGAATGAGAGAGGAGCAAGTGAGTAGAGGAATTGGAAAATCAGTTGAACTCGCTCGCTGCAGAATACCTGAACTCACGCATTGCCTGCTCTGCCTGGGTTCACAAAATCAGAAAGGTCAAGAGAGGCGATCAATGTTTCAGTTCGGTTGAAAGGTGGTGGGAATGGGTGACCTTTTGTTCTGGATTTGCTTCTTCCCTGTCCATCTCAGGCGAGGTTCAGCACAGCCCAGACAAGAGGCGACGAAATCGTCGTAGGGTTGAGAAGCATTATTACCTATATTTTCATTTCAACTATTACTAGCATATGATCATATTTTGTAATATTTGGCATACCAGTACGCATTTTCTATATGAAATTTATCCATAACATTCTTATAGCCGATGAGGGTGTATATAATTTTAATGAAAGACTTTGGTTTCTTGTGTAAACATTAAAGAAATATTTTGGTTTCAACTATTTTTATGGAATGCATGAGACGACAAAATCGTCTTAAAGATGCGGAACTTTTGGAGTTGTGTGTAATATGCAAGCTATTTTTTATTGTCCACATTCACTCACTTCCATCCTACATCCTTGTACCGTATGTTGCCTTGTGTTGTAACGAAAATGGAAATCAGACAAAATGTTGATAGTGGTAATTAAAAAGAATCATGAATCTGGTGTTGCGGTGAACAGAACTTCACTTCAAGGAGAGAATAGAAAATTCTTCGAAACTTTTTGCATTGAGATTCGGACACCCAACCATTGGCACAGATCGCACAGATCGAGACCGTTGTGCTAAGCGCGCCGCTATAAAGTGATGTCGCAAAACCCAAGTGCGGTTATTGAGAAAACGTCTCCCTTCCTAGGGTTTCGTGAAATTTCTTTTCTCTGGTTCTCTTTCTACTCCTCACGTTGATCCGTCTACTCACGCCATTCACGTCACTCACGCCATTCACGTCACTCACGCCACTCAAGCCGCCACTCATGTCAAACATATGTTTATATCATAACTGTGGGTAGGCTGTAGTGGGGTAGATTATGTGGGGTATAACCCCTTAGGGTTTTGCCTTGTACTCAATTCTCTCGATAGTGCAACTTACCTATGCCTAACTTCTAAGGGTACATTCCGCTTTGGACACATGTCCCAATCGATGTGTCCCAATCGAGTGTACCGCTCCGAACCGAACTAAACCAGAGACGCGAAAATTTCGAAACTAGGGTGCAATTTGGTGTAATACGATGCAGTGCGGTAGAAACGATTGGGACACATCGATTGGGACGTGTGTCCACAGCGGAATGTACCCTAAGATGGTATCTAGATGTCAAATGTTGTAGCCTGTAGTGAGGTTTGTCTTAGGGGGTACAGAAGTTAGGATTTGTTATATGTACCCCAACCAACGTCAATGGCATCATCATTCCTCATTTTGACATGGTATCAGCTAGGTTAGGATCCTGTGGGATCCCGTTCAGGGCAAATTTTTTGATTTGGCCTACCCTTACGATCAGTGTGGCACAATCTCAATAGCCTGATTATCAGTGTGACCCCTTGTGAAAAAACTTTCCCATCAGGGTTTTCCCTGTTTTTGAAAAATTTACCCTGTCGCATCAGTGTTCATGAAAAACAAACCCTGTTCAATAGTTTTTATACTTGCACTCAATACAAATTTCACTCATCATCATCAGACATGCCACACGGGTGTTCGTCGTGGTCTCACTCTCTTCTTCAAGCTCAGGTGCTTTCTGTTTGCCCTTCTCGTCCACTCAACCAAGTTTCCTGCTAACCCGGTCGTGTTGTCATGTCAGACAAACAGACCGAGTTGTGTTGGTGGCGCAGCCAACAAAGAAACTGTAAGCCGGGCCAATGGTGGCCCAATGTGTGCCAGCACATGCGCTGTCAAGGCCGAAAATCAGGCTTCGACGATTGGCAATCGGGATTTCAGGGTTACGGACGGGAGAGGGGGGGTGGGGGAACTGGGGGGCGGGGGGGGGGGGGGGTAGGGTACTCGTTTCAGGGTAAAACCCGTTATGGGATTCTGGAACCCTTATGCATCAGTGTGACATAAATGTAAACCCTGGCACATCAGGGTAAAACTAGCTCCTAAAAAAATTACTCGGGGCCATCAGTGTGACCCCCCAAAACCACCCTGATTATCAGGGTATTAGGGTGATTTACCCTGATAAAATTTGCCCTGATCCCGTTCCTCCGTTCTCCGTTCGTCCCTCCCGAGCCTGATCCTACCTCTCGTTCGTACCGGTTCCGTTGTTACCGCGCCTAGTACCGAGCCTAGCGCCCTCTCCCCACAGTCCTCCTCGCAGCGTGCCGCAGGTGCTAGCTCTCGAGAGGTTGGTGCTGCGCTTGTTCCTGTACCGGTTTCTGGTTCTGGGGGTGCTGGGGTTGGAGCTGGAGTTGGAGCTGGAGTTTCTGGTTCTGGAGTTGGAGCTGACCCGGTGGGTGCAGAGGACTCTTGTCGCCCGGGAGCTAGTGCTGGTCGCGCGGACACTGGGGGTGAGAGTGCGCCTCCTTCGGGTTCTGGTGAGCCTGGGTCTGGAGCTGGTGTTAGTGCTGCCTCTGGGGGTGGTGCGCCTGGTTCTTCGGGGGTGGACTCTGGAGCTACCGCTGCTTTGGACACTACTCCGCCCCCCCACCCCTACCCGACTAGGCACCAGGCTCGTGTTCGCCGTGCCCGTGACGAGCAGCTGGCATTGGAGAGAGAGGAGAGGGAGTTACATCGGCTGGAGGAGCAGCAGCAGCAGCTGGAGCCGCAGGAGCAGCACCAGCAGCAGCAGCAGCTGGACCCGCAGGAGCAGCAGTCCCAGCAGCAGCCGCTTCCGCAGCAGCAGCAGTCGCAGCAGCAGCAGCAGCAGCCACTTCCTCCTCCTGTCTCGGGTCTTCGGACCCTTGGTCTCCCCTCCCCTTCTCCTCCCTCCTCCGCCTCTCCTCCTGTCTACGGTCCCACGTTTCCTCCTCCTGACTCCTCCCCCGCTGTTTTCCCCAGTTCTCCGCCTTTGTCCTCTCCTCCTCCGTCTCGTTCTTGGGCTACTCGTCACTCCCCTCGTGCTCGTCCCTCGTCTCCTGTTCCCTTCACTGACCTTCGTACTGCCTTCCTTCTTTCTAGTCCACCTCGTCCGTCTCAGTCTGTGCTTCCGTCTCCTCCTGAGTCGGCCCTCACTGTGTCGCTCCCTACTCCTGTCACTGACTACTACCGCACGTACCGTCCTGTTCTCTCTCGTGTTCTCACCTCTCTTGTTACTCACCCTCGTGCCTCTGTGTCCTCTGTGTCCGCT